GCCGTGTCCGGGCCGCTCCCCGCTCCGCACGCGCTGCCCGGTCTGCGGAGACTGCAGGATGCTCCGGTAACCCGACAGCTGAAAACGCACACACCGTCATCACCGCTGGATGCTGCCTCGGTCACCGCCACCGGCGTCTGCCATTACAGCCCGCGCCGAGGCGCGGGACGCAACGTGCTCTGGGAGCAGCAGCAGCGCTGTCCTTGTCTATATGGCTTCTTTTTTCTGTAACTCTGAACAAACAGCTTTCTGTTCCAAGCCCACACCACCGAATCCAGCTCACTTCTAGCTTTCTCGCAGCTGCGTGACACGGCAAACCGCTTAATGCCTCCTCAGACATTCTTCCAATTTTGAGGCCATATTTGCAGCGAGGGGAAAGCATGGGACACTTACAAAAGCCATCTTTTGTGACAGCAACACAGTCGGGTATTCAGCTGCAATTTTTAAAAGGAGCTGGGCAGCCAGCTCCCGTATGTTCCTTCGAAAATCGCAGCTAAACTAGGCCAGCTAATGCTGCACAGTTCACTGGACAATATCAGCATGCTCATTCATATGCAGAAATGCAGATTTTCCTGTTTTCATAAGTGGTACCCTTCTCAAGGTCTGACTTGCAAAGTTTACAGATTTTTCTTTATTTAATGCAATTGTTCTTGTCACCAAAGAGCAATTCACATGCAGAAAGGCACAAGTTAGTTTCTAACCGACTCTTTTATTACACTAAACAAGGTCAAATATATAAAAATTCCAAGTTGTGGCTCTAAGACAAATCATTAAAATATCCCTCTCCCTCACTCACACATTTGAGGCATATTCTATTGCTGGAAAAAAGAAGCCACTTCACTCAAGACTGGAGTAATCCACTGGATTTAATAGATTTTTTTTTTCCCGAACTGCATCTGAAACCAGAGAATGTCAACACAAACCCAAGTTACGTTCAGTGCTTTTTGTCCCCAAGTCTCTTCTGAACGTTATTTCGGAATGGCCTACATCAAGCCAAAGCAAGAGAGCATTTTAAAGTAATGCATGTATCATTTCTGCAGAAGGAAAAATCAAGCCTGACTCTTTGAAACTGAATACAGTCACAGACATGAACATCAGAGCTTTAACAGACGTCCTCTACTCATAACAAACAGTTTCAAAGAAAATGTGCACTTTACACACAATTAAAAAGAGAACAAAAAAACGCAGTAATAGAAACAGCTCCATTACTTTGCAGTTTCGGAATGAATTCAGTGCTGGGATTGGAATATTCTGGACACTCTGCTCGCTACCGGGAGTATTCACTGGTGTGGACAAAAGCTCCCAGGACGGCCTGAGATGGTAGCCTTAAGCAGGTAAGGGCTCAGATCGTTAACTGGGAAAGGGCTAATACAGACAAGGGGTGACACAGCTCTCATGAACCAGTCTTACTTTAAGCCATTAGTAAGAAATCGCTGCAGTTTGTGTAGAGAGCAGCGAAGGGAAAGGATTTTCACTACTTGCTATTCGGCTGGTGAAAGGCTGTTCCGAAACCACCGCAAAGGGTTAAGAGCAACGTAACCCTTTTGGAAAGCTGAAAAGAACCACCCCAGTGGCAGGATAACAGTGGATGTTAGCCATGAATCTGCTGCGTTCATCACCAGGCTCCAAATGTCTGTCCCTAGTGCTTTCAGACAACATGTTTTCCATCCAGCTTCTCCATCACACCCAGCTTTTCTGCTGGCAAAGCCTCTCTGCCCATCTTCAGGCAGCTGCTTCTCTTCAGCCTCCTGTTTAATTAGAGGAGCACTATTAATAAACTCCCTCTCACCCCACACAGCTAGTCCCATCTCACTGGCTCACTGTCCCTGCCCACAAGTCCAGTCAAGCTTTTAAAAACCGCTATATACTTAACGTGTTAGTTACTTATACTTGAAGACATCACCCTGAAACCTTTTTGCGTAAGATTCAGAGGTTGCTCCTTTCCAGCAGCGGCAGCTGGGAGTTACTGCTAAACAAAAAGCCAGAAAGCAAGTTCTCTTGCAAACGTCTGTGCTGGAGGCGAGCCGGAGCAGCTCTCGCTGACGCCGTGCAGAGGGCTGCGCGGGCTCTGGGCACGCTTACGTCGCGCTAACGCAGAGCTGAGGGACAGCTGGGATCACGCCTGGGCTGCCTGGTGTCCCAGAGCGAAAACAGACTGAAAACAAGTCAGCGAAACACCTATTTTCAGTAAGTGCTTGGGTGGAGGATAATTGCAAGCATGTGCTCGTATCCCCTTAGTTTAAATTTAACGTTAACAGGACAGGAATGGAGCACGGGTGTACCTGTGTCTTCCATGGAGCCTTACTTCTCAGTCCTGCTCCTGGCCAGGCTGCAACGAGGGCACTAAGGACTGAGGTAGCCTCGAAACGGAACAGTCCCGCTTGAAACAGGCCCCAAAAATACATTAAAACGCATGAGAACCTAAAAAAGAGCGGAGCGAGGTCCTGAATACATTATAAATAGTAGCAAACAGCATACACATTTATCAGCATCTCTCAAACGTTAATGTGCATCCTTGCCAAAAAGACACCGCCAAAGGCAGTAAATACCGCATTCTCCTTCTTCTAATTATAAATTCAAGTTTAAAGCCAAAACCACAGAATGCCAAATCTGACTGGTCTCTCAAGCAGAAATCGAAGTTATACAGATTGCTCCGTCTGAGCTAAATTCCTCGACACAATGGAAGGAAGAGGTGTCTGGAATAAGGCAGTATCATTGATATTCGGAGAGGGCTTTGTAAAAACTCTTGGAGACAGCGCGTGTGTTCCGGCTGGGGGGAGAGGAAGGTTATTCCTCAAGCGTAATGCATGGAGAAACAAAATTACCATGACTCCATCTAACCAGATTACTTTGGAAAAGACAGAAATCTTATCCAAAAGGTATCAGAACAACTTCATGCCCTTGGGGAGCAGGGCGTTATGTAACAACAGACCTCAAAAACATCCATTTTCATAGATATCACATAAATACGTGGAATTACTGAATCCAGTAATTTCTATTTACTTTTTTGGGGATGTTTTACAAAAGTTTGAAGTCTGTCTTCCCTCCTGTTGCATAAAGCTTGCAGGGAGGTCTGAGCCCTCTCTGCGTTACGGCTGGCACTCTTACTCTGAATACAAGTACTCTCACACACGTACATTTTTCCTGTAAGCAATTTTCCATAGGGCAAAAAACCCTGTAGCACGTAACAGCTGTAGTATGACACTTCCATTTTATAAGTAGCACGTCATTTTTGTAAAAGACAGAGTCAAGAGCACCATTAACAGATGTTTTCCAAATCTTTCACTGCTCTGCTGCTCAGCGACTGGCACCCGTGGGCTGCCTGGGTAAGCAGAGACTCCTGTGCTGCGTGCATGTTCAAGGCACTTTTGAAACGCAGCATACAAAGTTTTACTTTTAAAGGAAGGAAAAACAACGACAAAACTGCAGACCACAGTAATAAAACTGGCAAAATGCTAACAGCTACCCATTTCTCCTCATTAATATAAAAAAGTGTAACATCAGAGATCCAGTGTACAAATACAAAAAATTGTGCATAATAAATGTACTATAATACTGTACATACAGCATAAACCGTTCAATGAGAATGATTTAAATATACCTATTTGTCTCCTGACTTGGAAGACAGAAGAATAAAGTTCTATAATCCTAGAATATGTGTATAACCCCTTTCTGAGAGGTTGAATCACTAGCCAACGGTATCCCTGAAAATAAGCAGAGTCAAATATTTACTTAATGGAAGCCATTATTCAAGGTAGCTGGTTATGATAAACTAGGAGAAAAAACCACAATATATAAACTCAGCCAACATTAAATCCAGACAGAGCTCTTCCCATCTCCTGACTTGCTACTGGCACTGCTTTTGTTTGAGCCTGCTTTGGATTTCTTCTCTCTGGAACTGCCGGGATTGTTTTGGTTGTTGTAAGCCTGGATCGCGAGGTCCAGGCGCTCCTGAGCCACTTTAATTTCCCTCTGCAGATTTTCCAGGTCGGCAGGAATGTTTTCTTCGTTGCTTCCATACTGCTGTTCCTGAGCTATGTTGGCTTTGTTCTGTTTGTAGGCCATTTTGGCGTTGGACAGTTCAGTATATTGCATTTGCTCTGGCTTGACCGCGATGTTATAGCCAGGAGGAGCAGACGGCGTATTCCAGGTAAACGGGTAGTTATAGGTACCAGAGTCCTCCAGCTCTTTTCTCTTGTTGTTCAACGTGTCCCGGATTGTGCCAAATCCCAAATGCAGCATCTCCCAGACATTCAAGAGTAAACACATGCAGCTCACCCCGTACATTATTAGCAGGAAAATGGTCTTTTCGGTTGGCCTTGAAATGAAACAATCTATCTTGTGCGGGCACGGCTTCCTGCTGCACACAAATATGGGGCTGACCTCAAAGCCATACAAAAAATACTGACCCACGAGAAAGCTGATTTCAAACGTCGTCCTCACCAGAAGCTGCAGGACATAAATTTTCATGAGTCCGTCCTCCCGGATTCGCCGCCTGCCGTCATGCTTAGCTTTGGCAGGGGCCTGCTGCTCTTTATTCTCCCGTTCGCTTTCCAGCTCTATTTCTGGGTACATCATCGGGTCTTCCTCGTGGTCCTCCTCAGCTTCCTCTAAGCCACGGTGTTGTTTCCAGCGCATGGAAAAGCTTTTGCTTCTGATTCTTCTGTCGGCTTCGCTGTGTTCTACCATCCGGGCAATTTTATGAATCGCGTAGCCTAAATACATCACAGACGGAGTGGCAACAAGAATGATCTGAAAGACCCAAAACCTCACATGCGAAAGAGGAGCAAAAGCATCGTAGCAAACGTTCTCACAGCCAGGCTGCTCTGTGTTGCACACAAACTTGCTTTGTTCATCGTAATAAATGGATTCTCCTCCCACAGCAGTTAGGACAATCCGAAATACAATCAACACTGTCAGCCAAATTTTGCCAACAAAGGTTGAGTGATTGTGGATCTCCTCTAACAGACGGGTCAGAAAACTCCAACTCATGGTGGTCAAATAATTTTATCTAAAAAACAAACAAAACCCCCAAATATTTATGAGTTTATCAGCTTGAGCCTAAGTGGTGCAAACATTCAATCAAGAGAGTCAGAAAACTCTAGAAGTTTACAACCAACACACAACCATGTTTTTAGTGTCACCTGCTATCGGGAAACTCCAGCTGTCAGCATTTGCTTGAAGATCCTACGTCTCCTCCGCAGGCTTTTGAGAAGTCTGCTACAAAAAAAAGTAGCAGTTAAGTGCCATTTCACAAACAGAACGTGCTCCCAAAGCTACTCCCGAGAAGAAGAGAGAGACGCGGCTGCTCTGTATTTCAAATGTTAATAAAAACATTTACACTTGAGGCTGAAGCCTCCAAAACAGAGTGGATGGAAAGCTAAGCTCCCATGAAATTTTATAGGCACTGTTGGCTACGTCCCACCGCTAACATAAGATTTATTTTAACCGCATGGAGGTGGCCAAGCCTTGTCAAAGCCTGAGCCAGCGATCTCGGCCTCGACCGCAGCCCACAGAGGGAAACGGCTCTCTCCACCGGGCAATGCCAGCTGTCTTGAGCCAGAAATGAGTTACCCAGCCCAAACCTGAGAAGCAAGCAACTGCTATTATCTTTGATTTAAAGGCAGGACAATCTGAGTGACCTGAGCAGTGCGACCCTGCAGGTCTAGCCTAGTGACGGGGTTTGACCTAAGGAACATCTGACTTCGAACCTGATGCTAAAACTCTTCTACGGATTTGGATTCAGTCCCTTAGGGAGGCTAAAAATCTCCCTTCCAGGGCCAGAAAAAGACTTTTAGTATGTATCAGAAAAGTCAGAAAAGACTTTAGTATGTATTTTGTAGTGTTTTTTTGGAGAGTAGAAGGAAAATCTAGTTTAAAAAGTTATCATCTGTCAAAAATTTTAGAAGATATACTAGACAGAAATCAATATAAATCTGCAATCCTAACAGTAAAAAACCCCGCCAGCAGAAACTCATGGCTGGCAACACTGTGAAGCGTTACAATGACCGAAGCGACGTTACAGGTCCGCCTGGAGGTCTAAGTAGTAAAACTGGTAAAATATTGAGCACAGGAAGAATTGTTTGACACTGTCATAGCACAGGGTATATACAGACATCTTTCAGTCCTCTGATGATGTCAAATATTAGTTTGTCAAACATCATTAATAGAAATTTTTACATCAGAACAACATTTGGAGAAAGATCCTACAACCAGAACTGGACAAACCTCTGGCACGCTGATCTTAAAAGTGATTTATTTTTAACCTGGAGAAATTCCAGGAGACTGGAAGAAAACTATTACGTGCAACTATTTAACTCCTATTTAACCACAGAGTTGTTCATAGGCAAAATAATGAAATTTGAGGGGATGCAATCAATACAGAATTAAAGGACGTAAATGTAATCTCCCTTCTGGTAAAATTCAATGTTTCATTGAAAAGGCAACAGCAGCACAGACATAATGCAGATGGGCTGGGTAGGACATTTGATTTATTACTTCACGACAGTGTAAGAAAAAAAATAGCACAAGAGAGTATAAAAAAGCCCCGATTAAGTGGATTAAAAGTAACAAAGATCTTGACAAATGATTCCCACATTAGAACCAAGATCAATCGCATGTAATTACAGCGAGTTCTGCAAAGACCAGAAACAGGCCTGGCAACTAGGCTGTATTTTCCCCAGACTCGACCAGAAAATGGCTGCTGACAAAATCTGCAAATGTCACAGAAGTTTGCAGGCTGACAAATAAAGATGAGAGTTATCAGTGATGCAGAAAAACCCAGATTGCTCGAGAGGCTGAGGCCACTGAAACAAAAGCACCGCTTCAACCGAGCTTAACGCAAAGACATGCGGCTAAAAAAAAGAACAGTCTTTTTTTTTTTTTAAGGAGAGAGCAGTTACTCTGGAGATCAGTTAATAGGGAAGGGAGTGAGGGTCCTAATGGATGAGCATCTCAACGAGAGCTGGTGAGACAGCAACGATCAATGCAACCCTTGGCCGTATCACGTGCAAACAGGAGCAAGGAGGGTGATCTTACCTCCTCGTTAGCAAGACAGCACTCGATGCCTGTGTCTGCATCCTTCAAAAGTTGCTTAAACATCAGAGGGTGAATAGATTAGACTCAAAACCAGCTGAAGAATGGGGAAGATGCCTAGAAGTGAGAGATTCAGAGATTTCAGTTTGTTTAGCTGGGAAATCCGGGAAGAAAACGAAGGATTACTGGTGAATCACTTAATCTAGCGGCTCTCAGTTGAGCATGCATCAATCCAAGGCTTACAATCAATGCTTTTCTTTCTACGCAACCACGCTACCATTGTGCCCTAGACAGAATTGGCTGAAACGACACGTTTGTAACAGGAAAAAAGACCAGAGGGTCCCAGCCCCAGCCACAACGCCCACACCCACACCGAGCTGCGCTGCCAGCCTAGTCACCACGCACGGACGTGTAACGGCATGTACGTGTTGCTAGCTGACATTTCGTGATTCGTCAATTAAAAATGAGACAAAACCCCAATGAGTTTAAGAATTAATTAATTTTCACTCACTGAAAACATTAGGGCCAAACTCTTTTCTAAAAGTAAACTACGGAGTAAATTTGATTATTAATTAAATACCGTTGCCAGTGTAATTTGGGATAAAAACAGGAACTAGCCTTCAAATTTCCGGATACTATCAATGTTCATTCATCAGCAGTTAACAACAGACAAGTTTGAAATTGGTGCTGGTTTCAGTAAGAGAGGGGACACTGCAGCTTTACTTTTAGATGAGCCGCTACCTTGACACCTGGTAAGTTCTCCCGAGGCACTTTTCTGCCTGCAGACCAGTCGCCTGTGGCGGGCTCGCATCGTACCTTGCCAGCTATGAAGAGGACGAGGCGGAAGAGCAGGGGGCGGGTGGCTCAGCCCTGGGCCCCCTCGGCCGCGGGTGCCAGCCGCTGGAGGTCACAGCGGACCTGGCCCGCTTTAGAACTGGCTTCAGGCGAAAGACGGGGATTCACGTCCTGGATCCCGCCGGTTATACACACGAACAGCGCAGAGACGCCGACCGACGGACTCGTACCGTCAGGTTAATCGCAGCCTTCCGATGCGGAAGACGGTAGTCCGCGAGTCCAATAACCGAGACTTCCGTCAATTAGAGAGGTCTGGCTGCGGAGACGTGAAGTTGTAGAAGAGCTCTGACCCTCTTCAACAAGAAAGCGTCACTTATTCTAAACTCAGTTTTGGTCCAGAGCAGAGCTGCTGACACCAACCTGGGACAATCCACCAGCAGGCAAAGAACTTCCTTGTCTTTAAGGAAACATTTTGGTTCAAGCAAAATGACCTGTCATTAAACCTTTCTTTCACTGGAAATGTCCAGCCCATCCAATTAAGCACAATACGAAAGCAAAAGGTTCCAGGCAGAAACACGGCACTGAAAATGGCGGTATCCTTCAGTTCTGTGAGATCAGCCAAGGTTAGAGACTGCGTGTTTCTGCCTTTGCAACGCATGTACTGCAGGACCCAGATATACTGCAGTAGCCTTCACCTAACGTACACTTAGCGTCTCCCAGATTTGTTGTTCTGGGAATATTTAACTCAATATTTTTCCATCGTTTCAAACAAAAGCCTATGGACACTGACACACATCTGAAAAAGGCAAAATGTCAGCAATTTCAGCGCATTTAAGTCATGCCAGAAAGTGCATTTGAGAGACTTTCATTCCTTGTATTTGTCATAAGTTCATCCCAGCACTTCCAGCGGAGGAGCCTTCTTCCGAGCCGGCAGGATATACGATGCAAATAACATGGCGCTTATCTCTGACAGTGAGCTAGCTCCTGCAAATTAAGGATTTGCAGACACTGACATCCAGAAAGAATGAAGAAGAATTTGGAGCAGGTACACGGGGGTAAAAAAAATCAGCTTTAGGTTAAGGGATTCATTGCAGGAAATCTCTTGAGTTATTTTAACACGGCTGTTGTTTAAGTACAGCCACAGACGGGGAAGAGCCCCTCATGTGGGGAGCCTCCCCTGTCCAGCCCATGCGTGGGTCTGAATATGAATTCAAACACAGGATTAATTCCATCTTGTTTCAGCCTTCTCATCTGCCATGGCCTCCCACCAGTCGGGGGGGAAGGACTGCACCCCGGAGAAGCAGTTTACTGTGACAACCTTAAAATCTTGCCTGGCGATGAGACAGCTGAAGTGTGGCGGGGACGGACAGCGGGACAGGAAGAACGGAGGCAGCTGGAACCGCGGTTACTCTGGTGAAACGCTGCCAGCAATGCCGCCATACCCCGAGATGTACGGCACCTACACGGCGGTGCAGCATGCAACAGCCTCGCTCCGGGCTGTCGCGTCCCGACGGACGGTATCAGGACTCATCTCACATCGTTCCGTCGACGACAGACAGCGGGACTGAGTGCACCCTCAGCAAGTTTGAGGATGACACCAAGCTGAGGGCTGCAACGGGTGCACCTGAGGGACGGGATGCCATCCGGAGGGATCCCGACAGGCTGGAGGAGTGGGCCCATGGGAAACTCATGACATTCAACAAGGCCAAGTGCAGGCTCCTGCCGCTGGGACAGGGCATCCCCCCACACCAGCACAGACCGGGGAGCAGGCGGATGGAGAGCAGCCCTGCCGAGGACTCAGGGATACTGGAGGTTGAAGAATCGGCCACGAGCCGGCAA